AAGGGAGCAAAACAATCCATCATTGAGCCCGGGAGTCACTCGCTCATAGAAAAGTAAAATCGGCATGTGACGGTACACTCAGCCCCAGTGTCTCGCAGATTAAAGTGATACATGGAAGTTCACGTGTTACCGGGAAGATTAAGCCAGTTATCTTGTTCCGCAGCCAATAAAGGGCTGCCTTGTCTGCGGTGGGGGGTGTGCTGCCTTTAACCAAGTGACAGAAACCATGCAAACGTGGCTTCATGCTACCACAAAAAAAGGACTCCGGATTGCCACGGAGAAACAAAGGTGGTCAGAGAGACTTTGGGAATGAGTCGGTGGCAGAAATGTTGTGTTAAAGTCTTTTCCTTCTCTGCAGAGGTGATTAGGAGCAAAAGAAACCCTCCCAAACAATCCCTGCAGAACAAAGTGTCCGCATGCACTGCCCACAGGCAGCCCCGCGACCCCGAGAAGCAGCGCCTTTTTCCAGTCTGCTGCTTGCTTGACCAAAAAAAATGTATTTAGATACGCTTTTGGATGAATGCATACATGGGGAATTTTAATATTTGGAATACTTCCCAACATAGTAGTATTAGCATTTAGCAGCTGGTTTCTTTTGTTGTTTGATGTAAGACACTTTCCCATCCCAGCTAAATTTACGGCTACTGACAGATTTCTGAATGAGCAGCTTGAAAAAGTTGGCGTTGAGTGTCAGCTTGCCCTGTTCCCAGCAGCACTAGCACTGCAGTGCTTGGCCTGGTTGCTCTGTCAGTCCCCAGCACAGGTCAGTACTCTTCACCCTTTGGGTGAGAGCTTAGAGCTTCCAAACAGCAACATCTCTGTTTCGCTATTTCCTCTGCTTTCCAAAGAAAGCCATTTGGACCAGCCAACCAACATTCTTGTTTTTTGAGACATTCAGACTTTTGTATTAACTAAGTTGCTTTATAGGGTGGATTTGTTATTACTAAGGATCATTAAGGACCAGTTCTGTGGTCTCTGCAAAATGAGAGAAGCTCATTGGAGAGGAACAGTGAAATATCCTTGCCAGCAGCAGGATGTGAGGCCTGAAGGGCCGTCCATGCCTCCAGTGAAAGCAGCAGGCCAAACCCGAATATCCCACTGCTGACAGTGCAATGGCCATGTGCTAATGCACTCCTCCCTTGCTTTGGGAAGACAACGGTTCAGGAACTTCTTCCACCTGCACCTCTGCAGGTCCTCCTGCTGCCACAGCTGCCTGCACCACACGTCTGGGAACACCGACTTCCCCCTGCCCTATTCTCGCTTTTCCTTCTTCCCAATTAGAATTTCATCCCAGTACGTAACAACAACAAATTCAAACTTCCAAGACAGCAAGTGCTAACGACCCAGCTGCTGCTGGATGCTGCTGAACATCCCCCCTCCTAGCAGGATGGGGCACCTGGGGCTGTGCACCCAGCACCCCGCTTCCTATTTTGCTTCCCGGGATGCCACCACCAGCACCCACAGGTGCATGGGAGCCTTCCAAGGCCTGAGCTGCTGTGCCGGGCAGGGGAAGCATGAGCTGCCGCCAGCGCAGCTCAGGCCATCACATTAATAGGGGTTGATTTGCAAACGGCGTCGCTCCCCCTGGCCCCCCTCTGCCCGACTCCCGCTTCTCCGTTCAATGGCACAGATGCTGCTTTGTGCTGCCCAGGACCAAGCAGCTATTAGCAGCAAATCCAGCGAGGGAAATTAATGAAGGCGACTACTAATAAAAGGCAGCTCAGGACAGCCGTACCAACTTGCTCCAAGCAGTAATTAACTTTTTTAAAACTCGCGAAGGTAAATATGCCATCGGCTTTGGTCCGGTCGCTCTCCCTTTCAATAAAAGCAGGGGGAGGGAGGATGCTGGGGAGGCCACCGACACCGTCCTGCTGCCGGTCCCGCTGCTCAGAACTGAGAGCCCGTTTTCCTCAGAGCAGCTTTTCAGGCACCACAGCAGCGTGCTGAGCTCGGCACAAGTGGTGAGCGAAAGCACTGCTGGGAGCTGCCGGCTGCCAGAGCAGCCTGGGACCAGAGCGGCTTTCCCCATGCACACACACAAACACCCTTTCATGGATAAACCTGTCCTACACATATTTTGCAGTGTGCTACCCTTAAAGTGTCATTTCATTTCTCTAAGTTACATACGTATCTTCACACGGAAATAAAAGATGTCCCAATTTAATAGCCCCAATAATTGTCCCTTTCAGTTTGTCATAGAATCATAGGCTCATAGAATGGCATGGGTGGGAGGGGACCTCAGATCCCATTAAGTTCCAACCCCCTGCCATGGGCTGGTTGCCCACCACCAGCTCTGGCTGTCCAGGGGTCCTGAGCACCTTCAGGGATGGGGAACCCACAGCTTCTTTGGGCAGCTGTGCCAGCACCTCACCGCCTTCCGAGTACAGAATTTCTTCCTAACATTTAGCCGAAATCTCCCCTCTTTTAGTTTAAAGTCATTCCCCCTTGTCATATCATGATCATGTGAAGGTCAGCCCTTCTTCTATTTGTAAGCTCTCTTCAAGTGCTGGAAACCCTTTAAGTACTGGAAAGCCTTCTCTTCTCCAAGCTGAACAAGCCCAACTCCCTCAGCCTTTCTTCACAGGAAAGGTGCTCCAGTTCTCTGATCATCTTTGTGGCCCTCCTCCAATTAAAAATTGCTATGCAAGAGCTAACGTATCCAGTGCTAAAAACCAGCCAGTGTATGCTTAATTACTCAATGTACTGTACATTTAATTAACAAAGCCATCAGAGCACACCATGGGATGCCCCTCAGTAGGTGAACCCTCACCTGCCGCTCCCCAACCCAACAGCACTGCTTCTCTGCCATCATAAAACCAAAGTATCTCTGTGGCAATGAAATCATCACAAGATCAGCCCCGATAAAAGGAAACGGCCTGGGTGTGCATCCCACAGGTGTGGGAGGGAGGAGAAGGGCCACAAGGCCAGGCTGCAGGGCACAGGTGGTGTGCTGTGAGTCCATGTAAGGTGACAGCAGAACCATGGCACGAGCCTGGGCGTGGGGACAGACCTCCATACACCTTCTGGGAGACTCCCAGCCATGGGGTTCATACCGTGGACAGAGAGCAGCCCCCTAGCAGCAGGATAAGCCAGGCCCCCGCTCCCAGCCCACATCAATGGGGACAAACCATTACAGGGGGTCCTTCCCAGCACCCCCAGGCCGCCCCGCTGGAAGGCCGCCTCCTGTCCCATCCCTTCTGGCCCACAGCAGGTCTGGGGACACAGCTCTGTGCCCTGGCCACATCAAAGCGCTGATTATGCAAATGTGCCCACTTTTCTTTTTTTTTTCTTTTTTTTTTTTTTTTCCTCCAGGAATTATTTATCACACAATAACTCCCCTGCCAGGGGGGGAAACAATAGCAGGGGCTGATAGCCGCGCTCGCCCGAGGCTGCGGGGCAGGGGGTGCGTTTTATTGGGCTAACCTAATTTCACTAATTCTCTTTTCACACGTTGGGCCTTTTTTTTCCCTTTTTCCCCCTTCGGGGATGTTGCTCTCAAGGCTGGGTTTCACGCTCCCAGGGCCCATGTTATTGAATTAACGCGTTTGGGAGCCTTCACTGGTTCCTAATGATTTCCAGGTGTTTGTGCCCAGAAGCCACCCGGCCACTGCTGGGTGCATACGATGGTGCTGAAAGGCCTGTGAGTACACCAGACGTACCCAGGTCTCATCTGGGATCCAGCAATCGATGTGGAGGGGGGAGGGTGCCCAGCACTGAGAGGAGCTGATGGAGTGGGTAGAGATGGGAGAAATGAGGCAGGGAGATGGGCTGTGTGCAGCAGCCTTGGTAGGGTGCCAAAGTGCTACTCCATTACCCAAAATTCAGGTTGGACGTTAGGAAAAATTTCTTCTCTGAGGTGCTGGAATGGGCTGCCCAGGGAGGTGGTGGAGTCACCGTGCCGGTAGGTGTTCAAGAGCCATGCGGATGTGGCACTGAGGGACATGGGCACAGCGGGGATGGAGTGATGGATGAGATGATCTGAGAGGTCATTTCCAACCTTAATGACTCTGAAATGCCTTACATGGGACACTGCATTCCCCCTGCAGCCAGCTCTAGCAGGGTCCCTGCACTGGGCGACGAGGTAATACGTCCCACACCCATCTCCCCCAGAATCTGCTCACCCAAAGAGCAACCACCTCATTCTCCTGGGGCTACATAGTTCATCCTTCTGCTTTATTTCTAAAGAAGCAAAACAGCATCTCAGCAACAGAAGGGCACATCAACCTCCTGGAAGACACTCCAGCTCTGGTGTTTCCAAGCACCACAAGAGCACAACTGAACCACCCACACCGTATTGCCTGCATGGCATTGGGGCTCACCCCCACCACAGCCCCCAGGCCAAGCTGCAGTGGGGCCGAGGACATTTGTCACCCCAACAGATGGCGCATAAGCCGTGAAAAAGAGCAACCCAAGTGATGAAAATTATGAAAATTAGATATTTTATTTATATTTTATGAGGAGAACAATCCCTTTGCTCTTCAGCCGTAAATACATACTAGAATAGACTCTGTAAATTATACAAAAAAATACATCTTTTCCATGAAATCTTTCTTTATAATAAATAAATGTGAACACGTGTGTGGCAGATCGCTGTAATGTCCCGTGTCTGTTTGGGTTTTCAGTCCGTTGATTTATTTTTAATCTCCTGAAAGAAGGGGGGAGTTCCTCGTCCCCTAAAGGTCGAAATAAATAATGCATGAGGCGCTCCTCCCTCCCACCCACCCCTTCCCTTCCCTCTACAGTTTTTCCTTTTGATAGAGAGTTCAGCCTAAATTTCCACGCTTGCATTCAGCCCTGACAAAGCCTACAAATTATACAATGACTTCTAACCTGGACCCCTAACAACACAACTTTTTTTCTTTTCTTTTTTTTTTTTTTTTTTTTTTAACTTTATTTTTTTCTCCGCTCCCCCCTCGTAAATCATGGAGACAGCTGCGGAGCGGCGAGGGGCAGAGCCGGGCAAAGTGCACGTCGGAGGAGCGAGGGCCGCCCGGGCCGCATTAGAGGCAGCGGTGGGGCGGCGGCGGAGGGGCGAAGCGGCCCCGCGGGGGCGGCCAGTGCTCGGCGTCCGAGGCGGAGCCGGCGGGGCTGCCGGGCGATAAAGTGCAGGCGTAGGGCGAGGCGGAGGGCGCGGGGCTGGCGCCGCCGCTCCACGACGAGGCGGGCGACGGGCTGCCGTCGGCGGCCGCCCCGGGCGCGTTCTCGGCGGCTCCCCCCAGGCGGGCGGCCCCGGCCAGGCGCAGGGTCTCGGTGAGCGCCCAGATGTAGTTGTGGGCGAAGCGCAGCGTCTCGATCTTGGTGAGCTTGGCGTCCTCGGGGAAGGTGGGCAGCACGTCGCGCAGCGCGTCCAGCGCCGCGTTCAGGTTGTGCATGCGGTTGCGCTCGCGGTTGTTGGCCTTCAGCCGCCGGCTCCGCTTGATGCGCTGCGCCGTCTCCGCCGTGCGCGCTGCCCGCGGAGGCCCTCGCTGCCTCCCCGCCCGCCGCGCGCCCTCCTGCAGCCGCCGCGGCCGCCCGTCCTCCTCGTCCTCCTCCTCCTCGCCGGCGCTGGACGGCAGCGAGGCCGAGGGGGCGGGCGAGGCGAGGCGCAGCAGCAGCAGCTCGTCGTCCGTCGCGGGCGCCGGGCTCTCCGCCTTCACCGGCATCCTGCGGGGGCGGGGGAGAGGGGGGCGCGGCCGCGGGTCGACGGCCGTCGGGCGGTCGGGGGGCGCTGGCACGCGCCCCGGCGGCGTCGGAGCGGCCCGGGGCCCGGCGGCTGCGTGTCTGGCACACGACCCCGCTAACGCCCCTTATATACCCCGCGGGGAACAATCAAACCTGCCCCGCCGGCGGCCCCCCCGCTCCCCGGCCCCGCCGCCGCGCCATTGGTGCCTCGCGCTCGGCTGGAGCGTGCCGCTAATTTATTAATGAATGGGGGGGGGGGGGGGGGTGCGCGAGGCGTTGGCGGCCAATCGGGGCGCCCCGCGAGCCACGCGCGCCGGAGCCGGCTCCCTTTCAGCGCTGCATTCAGCGGCCGCGGGCGGGGGGCTGCCCCGCTGGGGGGCCCCGCGCGTCCCCACGGGGGTAGCGGGGCCGGGGCGGAGCGGGGCGGGCGGCGCTCGGGGGACGCCGTGCCCCTAAAGCCGTGAGGCGGCTCCGCCGTTTGGACCCTCGGCTGCCCGCTCCTACCGGCTCGACGCCGCAGTTGTCAGTGTGGCGAGGAACATCAAGCCAGCCTCGTGCCCGGCTTCCTGACCGGGGCCGGCGGGATGCAGTGGCTTCGGGTAAAAATAGGAGGTTGTAAAATAGAACTTGCGTTGCAACTGGTGGGAAGAGCCCCGAAGTGGAGGCTTGGATCAGTGTGACAGAGCGGAGATGTACGTGGGTAACCCATGGTGCACAATACATGCACACACAAGTGGTAGAATCACAGGATCGTTGGTATGGGTTCATCAAGCCAGCCCAGCCCCACTCCCTGCTATGGGCAGGTTGCCCTCACCAGCTCGGGCTGCCCAGGCCCCATCCAGCCTGGCCTTGGGCATCTCAAGGGATGGGGCATCCACGATCTTCTGTGGGCAGCCTGTGCTAGGGCTTCACCACCCTTGGAGTAAAGAGTTTCCTCCTAACAGCTGACCTAAATCTCCCCTCTTTTAGTTTAAAGCCATTCCGTCCTATTGCACTTGCCTGTCCCCAGCCTCGTTTTTGCTGCTTTGCTGCTGCACAGTTGTGCGCCCTGCTACCCCATGCTGCATTTAGCCAATCTATTGCAAAATGTCTGCAACTCTGCCAAGTGACTTGGACACATTTCCCCTTTCTGAGAAACGGGAGATCCCTATGTGTAAGGAGCGCAGCATGGAGCAGCAGCAGCAGCCCGCGCTCATGCAGCAGGACGGAGGCTCGGCGCTGTGTGGGGCAAGGGCCGGGCAGGGCCGGGGTGAGGGCCTGAACTGTCCCCTGGGGTCAAACTGTTCAACTTCAGCCCCTTTGCCAGACTCGATCCTACTTTACGGGAACAAAGGGGTGAAGTAGGCGACGATCAAGAAATGGGAGCACAATGATTTAAGCTTATCACACGGCCCAGAAATAAAGGATGCTGAGCTGGTGTGCGGGAGAGGGGGAGACCTTCAGAAGGGCTTTGTTTGCAGTAAGAAGATTGAACTCGGAGGCGACCCGAGAGCCCTAAAAGTTTAGGGTCTGTGTTGCTGAGAGACCTTTGGACGCGGCCCATCCATGCTCCGACCTCACAAGTTGCGAGTGAGTGCCTGTGCTGGCCCCGTGGCCCAGCAGGGTGGGGGCAGCAGGCTCTGGGCTTCCAGAGCTCCAGAGGGTCGGTGGGACGGAGCCCCCGAGCAGCTAATGGCAGGGCGCGCAGCCCTTAACCTGGGGGTCAAAACACAGCCCCTTCCCAGAGGGTGGATGAGGGGTGCTCGGCAGGGGGGCAGCCCCTGGCACAGCCGCAGCCAGAAGCACTGCTGGGAGGGAAGGGCAGGCCCCCGTATTTGGGGTTCCTTTGGGATCAGCCCCCCTGGGCAGTGCTGCCCAGGCATCCAGGCCCAGCCCCCCTTGCGGACAAGCCCCCCGTTCGGGCTGATTGTTCCCGGTGGATTTGCATGGCAGGTGCAGGCTCCGGGGTGATTTTGCGATGCGGAGCCCCGCTGCCCCCCCCCCACCCCCTCCCCAGGATTTGCCTCCCCCACCTCCCCCCTGTGAAAAAGGGCCGCCGGTGCCTTCCTTTCCCATGAAGAAGAAGAAGCTTGAGGATCGCGTGAACACGCTTCAGTTTTCTTATTCTTTTCTATAGATGTGGGGAAAAGAACAGCCGATTGTGTGAAAAACCCAGTGCCTGCAAAAAGGGACATTGGCCATCCAGGCGAAGGTGCGCGAGGGAGAGCACTAATCGCTGAACCAGGAGACAAATACGATTACCAGCTCCGAGCCTTGAGTCAGAAAGTCTCATAGACTTTAAGATGTTAATCCCCGACATAATCCTTCCTTTGGCGTGTAGGAATAGTGCAGCCACAAGAGTTGTTTTGTTATTTATATTGGCGTTTAATAAAACTCAGCCAGCAGTGAATGGGCTGCCCACTCTCCAATGGTAATTAATTCCCTATTTCAGTGACCCAATTGTGCTGGGATAGAGCAGTGGGACAGTCCCACTGCCCCAACCCGCCTTTGTGCAGCTACACAGCTCTCGTGCTTCAACAGCTATGGAAACTCATTCTTTTGATGTCATTCAATGAGTTTTCCTTGGGCATCTTCTAAACTTCAAGGACCCTTTTCTTTCTCCAACGCATGAAAAGCAGGACTAGCTTGACCACCTCTGTAGAATTTAATGATTTGGTGAAAGGGCCTTTTTGGGGGTTTGTGTAAGGAAAAAGAGAAAGAAAATTTGGCAGGCTGCTATCAAACGGGGCTATCCAACCCGCGGCGCACTGCAGCCATTCAGCTCCCAGCGCACACAGGCAGAGGAGCCGTGCTTCCCTACACACAGCACTACTGTACCTCTCACCCCTGGCATGCCTGCAGGTTTGTCATGAGAGAGCAGCCTGCACCCTCGGCCCCGAAAACACCTCGCCTTCAGGAAGGAAGGCACTTTGGTCCTCAAAAGGGAAGAACTGTGAGAGCCCTACAAGGCATCGTGGTGCTGCAGAGCCCAGGGCTGTGTCCGGGCAGCGCGTTGGCTGTGGGGCGGACACAGGAGTGTGTGAAATGGGCACGTGAAGGACATGGCCTGGCCCTGCCCAGCGCGGGCAGCCCCTTCTATGTCTTTATACATGCTCCCAAAAAAACCCCTCCGCAAGTCACAAACAATTCAGAATTCACTAAGAAAACACAGAGTGAACCATATGGCCGGGGTGGCTCGAGTTGGCTGCATTTTCCCCCAGACAAAGAAGGGATTGAGAGTTGAAGGAAAGGAGAAAAAAACCAACTTTCCGGCTGATGAAGCTGTTGTCTGGAGGCAATGATCCCAAATCTCAAGGCTTTATTCCAGGCCCCGACTGAGACGTGATATGTCATATGATTAGCATCTTTCATATTTACAAGAGCAGTGTGGGCTGCCGGGCTTTAGAGAAAGGCGAGAGAAAGAGGGGGCATATGCTGAAATGGATTTAGCATTTGAAAGAGAGAAAAGAGATCGGATAAATACACTTAAACGAGGATTTAGTTTTACTCCCGTTGCGTCCTAATGGATTGTTGATTGAGATTTTAGGGAGCGAGAGCCGAGGTGTCAGCAGCGCAGCACGGCACAACGCGGGCCGCTCCCGGCGGCGGGCGGCGCCACCTGGCGGCCGGCGGGGCTGCACCGAGCCGGGTGGAGCTGTTGAATTGCGAGGATTGAATAAACCGAGGGCATGGCATTTTCTTTGACAAAACGATGTTGCATTGGGCCTTTTTATCGTTAGAGCCATGCGCTTGGCTTTGAATGATTTGTAAATACACAAAGTGACACTTGTTTTTACAACAGGTTTGATACGCATGCAGCCTAAATAACAACAAAACACTAATAATGCAATTAGGTACTTCATAGGCTTAGTTATTAAATAATTCATACTAATATTAATAATAGAATGAAAGGGATTTCAGATGCCTTGCAGTTCCTATATTCTTTAGTTTTAGTCATTCAAACAAGGGGCTGCCAAAACAGAAGAATTAAACAGATGCAAATAAGATTTCCCCACATTAAACATTAAATATTACATTCACACTTTTATAGACATTAGGTCATTTTTATAGACACACCATTCATATATTGTCAAAATAAAATGCACACGTTTTATTTTTCCTTTTTCTTACTCTGTTCCTCTTCCTTCTTTTCCTCCAAGTAGTGCTTCAGAATGTCGTTCAGCTGCTGCTCACACTGGCTTACATGTTGCAATCCGTTTTCTTGCCCTGAAAGCAATATTCAATAGGATAATTACGTATCACTTCACAGCGTCCATCACGTAGTTGCTGTGTGGCAATGAGAACATCTATTTCCCAAAATGTATCAAATGGCTATCATATTTCTACATCATTGTTCTTCACCTACTTGGTTGCCAACTAAGTAGACAGAATAAAATTAGTATTTTGGCACTTCTCTTGTAGTGAGTTCTTATCTGGTGTTTCAGAGACTAAAAACTCCTTCTGTAGTATCTGCTTAGGTGGGGCCTCCCTGTGCGAAGAGCAGACGTGTGTCTGCAAAGACACCCCAGTGGGTGCTGGGGAGTTGGATTCAGACAGCTTATTGAAGACATTTTAGAAACTGGGACTTTCTCTTGCTTCTCTCATTCAATGAGAGTTGATAAGGCAAAAGTTAGGATGAAATGTACTCATGCTTTGAGATGTGAAATGATTTCCCAGTTGTCTTCCCCTTGTTTAGCATGTACTACTCAGAAATAGAGCTACATTGCTTTACAATGTGTTCCTGCCTGGGTCTGCTATGTAAAAACCAAATCGGTAAAGCACTAGAAATGCAGTAGTCATCTCCAGATCTCCTTGCCAGAGTACTTTGTCCATCTATCTGATGCCATCAAGAGAAGAAAAAAGAAGTCCCATCACTAGATAACAAAAATACTTAGCATATAAAAGCAGTTTGATGATAGAACTGCAAACAAGCAACTTTTGTGCTTGTGATCTACTTGCAATATACAATGGGAATATATATATATGTATATATATATAATGGGAGTATATATAGAAATATACTGTATTTTGTGTAGTGTGCTGTATGGGAACTGTTGAGTCACGGCCTGAACCACTGATTGATCACCTGATGAAAGGACTGAGTCAGCCCTGGGAGCACAGGTGAAGGCAATTCAGCTGTGCGATCAGAAAGCGGTGGAGCCTGGCTGAACCTCTCTTAGCTCCCATTTAAGGGCTGACTGGCACTGGGGAAGGATCTCTTTCTGGAGATCCCTCCTTTGTGGAGTCTGTCTTGCAAACCTAGATCTTTGGCTACAGGTAAGCATTCCTTCCCTGTTTGTTTCTTTTCCTGTTTTCACCATGATAATCTTTCCAGCTGTAACACCAACTGTAACATATGCATGCTATACGTTATGAAGGATGTATTCTGTATAGTATACAGCATATTGTCTAATTTTAAAAGATGAGCTATAGGTTTTTGAAAATAAAGGAAAAGAATGTAATACCTTTGCAGTGATTAATTACTCTTTCATAGAGTCTGTTCTTACTTAAGCAGGCCAGATTCCCAACAATCAGGAGATGCCTCTTTGCCCTTGTCAATGCAACATTCATTCTCTTTTCTGAGTCTGTGAATCCAGTTTGTCTTGTTCTTACACATGACAGAACAACGATCTCCTTCTCAGCTCCTTGGAATGCATCTACAGTGGACACCTGGACAGCCTTCACTGGAAAAGCCTCGGAATGTGCACTCCTAAGCAAGTTCTGTATCTGTAGACAAACAAATATGGATGTTGATGAATTATGCTGCTCCGTCAGTTATTTGTCTTGAGCAAAAGCTACAAGTCTGAGCCTACACAAGATGCAAATTAAGCAATTATGAAGTGCAATGACAATATATCTTCAGCTACCTACAGTAAAATACTATGGAATGAGACTGCATTTGATAAAATGCTGGTCTGCTCAGTGTGACAAACTGTGCTTGCATTTAGTAATCACAGCAGCCCGTATCATGCCCCGAGTGACTGAGTGAGGTACAACTGCAGCCTTGCTATGCAGGTCTCTCCATTATCTGTCCTTGTCATGCATATCAATCTGTAATGGCACCCACATCAAATATTGAAATTATTATTATTAAAGTTATTTAATTTTCCAAATTTTCTAAGTGGGCAGGTGTATGGGAACTATTGAGTCATGGCCTGAACCACTGATCGATCACCTGGGGAAAGAACCTGTCAGCCATGGGAGCACAGCTGAAGGCAATTCATGTGTGTGACTGGAAGGAGTGGAGCCTGGCTGCACCTCTCTTAGGCCTCATAGAAGGGCTGATTGCCACTGGAGAAGGATCTCTTGCTGGAGATCCCTCTCTGGGATCTCTCTGGAGCTTTCCCCCGTGAACATAGATTTTTGGAGATGGGTGAGCAGTCCTTTTTTCCTTTCCTTATTACACCTTTCTATTGCGTTAGTCTTTTTGACATTGTATCTTTTGTATTACCATTTTATCATGTTGTTCTCATTATTACAGCAGGAAAAAAGGAATTTATTTTTTTTTAATAAAAAAACTGAAGGTTGAGTAGAGGAATAAAAGATATCTTTTTTTTTTTTTTTAAACAAGAAAGATAAACTAAACTCTAGTTTACTTTTTAGCACTTTTCTTACTTCTTGTTCATTATTCTTGGTTGAAATGGAGCCTTTGTTTAGAACAAACTTACAGATGTTTTTATCAATGGTGTATTGTACAAACCTTGTACATCTGTGATTTGTAAAAAGTAATCACACCCACTGCAGATCCGTGTATTCCACTTGCAATCAGAGACTGGATAAGCTTGACTATAAAATGAACTTCTGCTGTGTTATAAAAGCTGTTGTCGCTTTCAATCTGGAAATAGGGAAAATTTCTAATTCAGTTCTCATGAGTAGCAGTTAAAATACACTTAATTGCACAGTAAGAATGCAAGCAGAATGGAGGAAACCCTACAACATGGTCTTTTTAAATGAAAAAATGTTGGGAAAACTTACTTGCTCCAGCCCGCTAACACTATAAAAACATAGTGTTGGAAGCCAATCCAGTAAAGGACTTCTTTCCTTCTCAGAAATGCCATCTATCAGGTTTCCTTCGTAGAACAGCTCATTGGCTATGGCACTAATAGCAGGGTGGCATCGATATTGTGTCCGTAGCAGTATTGTTTTATGTCCCTAAAGGATTATGATGTAGAGAGATGATGTATGATGAAGAAGAAAAATAATTTCTTCCTATTTTGAAATGCCAGCTTGGTCAAACAAAAAATAGAAACAATTCCTGCAAGAAGCAGACTTAATCTTCACACTAATAACAAAAGTTAGAAGAAATGCTGTAGCCTCTAATTCCTCTACATGGATCGAAACCTGAACGTAAAGATCAGGAGAAATAATCTGTCACTGTTTCTTGTTTTTGTTTTACATTTATTATGCAATGTCTGTGCATTGTGCAAATAACATTTACAGAGAGCTGCACCAAAATGGAATCTACTTGATTCAGAAGCAGGCTGAAATGCTGATTCTCTGACACCTAAATCAGAAGTCTTAGTGACTTCAGTGGACCTGGAATTTTATCTTCTATCTTTAGAAAAGAGGTGGTTAGCAGTACATACCATTAAGCAAAGCCGATCAAAGAGAGTCTGTTCTAGTCCTTTATCATGAATGCTCTCAGACCCTTGAATAGTTGGTGGCAGTTGCTTAGGATCTCCAACAAGGACTAGCTTTTCACACTGAAACCTAAATAAGAATGTTATTAAAAAAGCCTTTTAAAAAGGTTCTAAAGAATGGATGTTAAACTATTTGTAATGAAACTGCAACTCCCTTCATCGCTCTTCTTTCCAAAGTTAAAATAACACACTAACACAAGAAAAGCATCTAAAAGCATGCCTCAATTTGTAATTACTCTTCTTAAGGTGAGACTTTAGAATTTGTGTTCATAAAAAGAATCACAGTTTGGTGATTTGAGGCCGTGTCACTGCTAACTAACTCAGCTAAAACGCAAAAGGATGGTGGTACCTTGCAATAGGGAGGAGAGAAGTAGGTTCAGTCATCTGACTGCACTCATCCAGCACCACTACAGGAAACTGAAGAGTATCCAAGCAAGGGAATGGGCAGGCAGCACAGGTCACTCCAACCACTTTTACCTTTGTCATTAGTAAAAGAAAAATCGATAGAGAAACATTATGATCGTTAAGCAGTCTCTATGCAGTACGTGACTGTAACTCCGGCAATGGAATACACTTCAATTAATTTTTAGCTATTCTACTACATGCTATGTTACACTCAGTTTCAAAAAATTAAATTCTAACTGCAGGTAAAAGATGGCGTATGCAAAGAGGAGGTTAAGATTTCTCATGTTTGGTGCATTTCTACGTTAGAACCATTCACAAATTCCTGGATTTCAAGGCCAGAACAGGTCAGCCACAGAAAGAGTTCAAATTACACAATTCTCCAAAACCTTTTGAGCCCCAGTACCAGAAACAGCAGCACTGATCACTAGGAACAAGCACAAAAAACCCACAATGCTCAAATCTGCTCTATTAAAATTGCTCTACAACACCCTCAAATCACTTGAGTCTAGAAATGAGGGAAGAGAAGCAAATAACTGAGAATCAGAAGGTTTTTCCACAGGAAGTGGTAGTTTTAAAATGTAATGCTTTGATGAAAAGTTACTTAAAAATATATTTGAAAAAACATTCTTGGCAGCTGATTCTCAGTTGTAGTTTAACTCAATTTAATTAATTCCTTACCTTTTACCTTTATGACTATATAAATTTTAGTTTTGAAGTAACAATGCAGATAAGCAACATTCAGTAATTTTTCTCTCCTTGTAAACTGTGGTGATGATGTTGGAACAGACTGCAGTAAATTCAGAATAGGTTTCTCTCTCATAATTTATCATTAAATAGGAACTGCAAGTACAACTCAAGTCAGAAGCATGTAAGATATTAAGCTGTACTGGTAGAATCAAAGCTGTCCTATTCTGAACATTCATTTCAAAACTTGAGGTGCTAGGCAGTCTCTCAGAGCCAGAGAGGATTCCCAGTTTCCATTTGCTGGGCCTTGCAGGTAAGGCATATAAAGATTGCTTTCCCATCCCACCCACTTTGACTGTACCTGTTGCAATGCATTTTTATTGGTCCCCAGTTTATGTCGCTCAATACTCTTCCTTACATACATTTTTTCAGCTGGAGCTAAATCTTCTTTCAGGAGAGCAAGAAGTTCTTTTAACTGTTCATTTTCATTTCCTGAGCCTGCATGTAAACTTAAAAGATTTCATAACATGCATTAAAATGACTAAAAATAACATTGTTTTTAGTGTTTAGTTAACACACAGTATACAAAAACTAGTGCAACACAAACGTATTTTACAACAATTTATTAATATATACTAGCTGAGATAAACTAGTAAAATACTTGCTTTAAAACAGACCTTTATCCCACCAGCTCAAACCCACTGCCTTAATCAAAGATGTGCAGTAAATGACTCCCCCAAGCTCTTACAGTTGATTTCAGCATGGAGTACAAGTGCGGAGAAAATTTTCACTCCCGTACTTTTTGTACCCTTGGCGTTCTGTTTATACCACAGAATGGTAATTTTATCTTTAATTCACCTTGAACTGCACTTAATTCCCTCCATAGTTTTGAAAGTGCAGTGTAGGTCACTGAGTTTTAAATAGTCAAATGACAGACCCCAGGACACTTATGCTGTATGCATTGGAGATGCCTTGTGTAAGAAGTACAGTGTTAACAAGCTGTTACTATTAATTCTCTGAGCATTAAATGTATTGCTTCCTCCTAGTCCTTATCACTACAACAATACATATATATCCTGAGTCTTTTTTTTTTTTGCTTTTCCTCTGTGTAAACTGCCAAATCTCTCACTGTTGTTAATTTGTTCTCTATTGATTTCCATTTAAAAGCATTATTCCTATTCAGTAACAAGCCACGTGCCTAAATCAAGATAAAATTTACCCACTGTGTGGGAGTAGGTGGAGAGAATAAGATAGTCATATTACAGTCTCATTTTGAATGACTTCAAGATAGTGTGCATGCTGTAAAATAACTATCATGAATCATATAATTGGCTCAGATCCCATAAGGGTTAGCATACTTACCTACGGGGAAGAATTGCTTTGGCAATTTTCCTAATACTTCCCACTCTGATGAAATCCTCAAATCCAAGATCAAGTAGACTTCAAAGAATAAGAGATGATACACGTTAGGAAAAGGTAGGCATTAATTTTGAAAAACACAAAAGATTTTTTCTGTGAAATGAAGAATATAAACTTCAACAACTTACCAGACCAAAGTAATGTGAACCACAGTCAGATAAATAGTAATCAAACCAAATTACCTCATTGTGATTTGTCTCAAAAAATGCTCAATTCGTTTATGATTCTCAACTTGTACTCAGTGTTTCTCCCTTTATCTTTCCAACAGTCTTAACCTCTAACATTTTCTTCTTTTGGTATTTGGTGAAGCTTCCCAAGTCTGATCTCCCCCCTGCCACTGTTATTTCCTTAAGCTTCCTGAGCATTCCTAATTTCTGTCTTGGGTGGATTCTAATAGTAAATGTGGTGATAGTGTGAGATTGGGCTCATATAAAACAGTCCAGCTAGTCTTACATGGTCTCCTAGAATAGGCAGACTGTGCGAAGGAGCAAGAGTAAAGTTAAATCCCCAATTGCAGTAATTTATAGGGAAAGAATGCACATATAATCCAAGGTATTATACTGGAAATACTAGCATAATTACCAGTAACATTTAAGTGCACTGTTGTCTTTCGAACAACATTTTGTCAAATCTTAATTCACAGTGACCTACCACAGCAGTATCCTGTCAACAGCAACATTAGTGGAAGAAGCAATCAGGAGTTTCCATGGAGCTAGCTCTGGACCCTCATTAGCTTCACTGCTTTCAAAGAGCTGGACTAGGAACAAGATCACAACAGACAGCAAGTAGCTCTTTCCAGCTCCAAAAACACCTGGTATGTTAGAAGAAAAAGCCAAAAGTTCACATGAAGATTTTCTAGAAATGCAGTTTTGATCAACTATTCTAACATAATTTTACCTTGTGATAATATTGTGCTGTAATTCCTGTAAGAAACATTGCTTGCACTTGCTTCAGTAGCTGAAAGTATCAAGGGGCAACCAGTTGGCTTACACTTTACTGCACGTGTTGTTTTTATTTATTTGCATGCATCTCTCCTACTATGGCCTCACGTACACAATAAAAAAATTGTGGTGATGATGTTTTCTTTCTAATCATTCTAATTAAATTAATGCAGCAATAGCTAAACTACATTTTGGGCAATGGAAATGTAATCCACACGAAGACTGTTATTATTGGCCATGCATATATTTTTGCCAGGATCTAAAAACTTATGAGAACTCCATCTCAATACTGATTTGAAAAAGTTTTTTAAAAAATTGAATTAAGATGTTACTCATGTATGCATGCTGAAAAGAGATAAAACAAGGATATAAGGAAGTATAGAACAAGGAAAAAAATAACAAAAAGTTTATATGATAATTTAGCAAAGCTTATCCATGATGACAAGTATTTTAATATGAAAAAATAAGCAGAAGACAATCCTAACTTTATATAGAAATTTTGCTAGGAAGGATCTCTACACATAAGGTAAAATACTGCAAAAGGCAGGACGCAAATTCAAGGATCAAAAGTTCTGTGCTGACAGAACATATGTTATGATTCTAATGTCAAGGCCCTTACCAGAAGGACCTCGTGCAAGGCATGATTTTTTTAAGGAAATGCATGAACAGTAGTGTTATAGAAGTGCTGAAAAGGACATTCCATACACAGAGGCAGTTGATTCAATGCATCTTTTTTTATACTACCTTTAACAATAAGTCATTGTTTACCCAGACTTAAGGATTTCTTTTTAAGTCTGTGTAGGACTGTAAATATATGAATACAAAGGCAGCTAGTCTACTGTTTTGTCACTGAGAGAATTTAGGGATATTTCACTAATGTTGGTGTTACATATCAACTAGCATTTTTGCAAAGAATAAAATAGCAAATGTTACAATTATTTGCTATATACCATGTATGATTGTGATAGGGAAAATCTGATGTTCTTCCACTGATTTCATATTTTCATGTGAGGACATCATCTGAGCTATGTGAATCAGAGATGTAGCTTGATCTGGATTCAGTGAGAACGTTAGGATCATCTTTTCAGCTAGTTGCATTGCCACTTCAGAGCTGACAGAGCCGTATATCTTTTTGCGTGCCACGCTCATGGCAGGTGGAATAAATTTTCTTCTGTTTATTCTCCTAGAAGGCTTTTCAGAATCACGATTCCTAAGAAAAATTAACAAACAAAAGCTGTGTTATAATACTGCATGTGTATGAATTGCATCTCATTGTTCTGATGTTCTCTCACCTATGTCAAAATGCTGGTGCATTATAATGAACAATTGACATAGAAGGAAGTTGCTGCCCTCTTCATCTTGATGTGCACCTGGACTGTATATTCCTGCCTCTTATTACTTCTCAAGGGAAGTCTGTATCATACTAAACAGGTTTCTGGGCTTTTATCCCACTTGGTGCGAGTTTAGACTTTCCTGTCTTACTCAAGCCTGACAGAATTAAGAGTGGTAGAATCATGTAGTCAGAGGTAGCAGGGGTTCACATTCACTTGTTTTATACTGTGACTCACAAAATCATATAAAGGTTGGAAAAGACCTCTGTGATCATCTAGTCCAACTCTCCACCTACCACCAATATTGCTGTAGAGGAAATGCTAAGTCATGGTCTGAGCCAGTGATTGGCAGGGCCAACCTAGGGGAGCTCAGGTGCATGCAATGAGCCTGAGTGACTGGAAGGGGTGGAGCCAGGATCCACCCCTTCTCAGAGCTCATTTAAGGGTTGGCAGTGAAAGCAGGGGCATCTCTTGCTAAAGATCTCTGCCTACCTGAGGCCTTCTAAAGGTAAGCAGCTCTTTTCCTCCATTTCTGCATCCATGGATGCTGCACTTGTGCTTGTTCTCATTTGCCGCAGCCGAAGATTTTGCCACCCTGCTGTTATCGTGGTACTTTTCATCCCATTCTAGTGTTACAATTGCCTACTAAACTATGCCCTTAAGTACTACGTCTACGCATTTTCTTGAACATCTCCAGGGATGGTGACTTCATCACTTCTCTGGAAGTCCACTTTTAATAGAGCAAACTCAATGGCTTTTTTTTTTTCCTGTACTTCTTTACCTATCATTTATTTACACTGGCATTAAACAGTAACTTACATTTTTAGTAGATATGGTATTAGTGGTAATGTAGATGGATTGAAGTATTCTTCCATGTTTCTTAAGGATATAAGCTCACCACTGGCATTACAAGCTAGCAAGGCGTGAACTGATGCTGAAAAAGCCACAGAAAAATAAAATTAAGAAAAAATGAAATAAGCCAAGCTTTCAAATCAGGTAGAGAAGTTAATTAGAAAATGCTGAATTAGTCCTGCTGCATTACTTATGGTCACAAATTAAGTCAGGAGCAAAATCTTGCTAAGGAAAAAATAAACATGGAACTGTGATTTAACAACATTGAGATTGCAAAGCTACATATTAACTCTTCTAGGCACTGACAGCTTATGAGATCCAGTCCTGCACTTCACGTGCAGGGAACAAATGAAACCAAACCTCCAACTGCCTTTGAAGTCTACAATTTCATAGCAAGTATGCCCACAAAAACATGTGCCATTCTATTTATCTTTATGAATGTAACTCAGAATGAGAGTTTAATCTTAATGTAGGCTCACTGGAATGTTCCTTGCAGGATCTCTGTCTAATAATTACATAGAAAGCCTAAACAATATTAATTTGTAGGCTTAAAACATTCAATTAACCTGATTGAGTAGTATGAATAAAGTCTCTAGTGATCACACAAACAATTTTCACGCTGCATTCCAGCTCCAGAATGGCATTCTTCATCTCTCTTTCCTTATTTTTTTAATAGTTTTGTTCAACAGGAAAAAAAAAAATACCTTTTGCATCACCTTTGGCTGCAAACTTGTTGTTCTGTTGAGCGATCTTTGGCAGACCCACACTGTTTTTCTGTACTTAAAGCCCTTACCCACTAACCTCACTGTTCACAAAACACTGATATCAAGATATGGAAAAAATACCCCAAACAAAAATGTTAAAAACCAAAATAGAGAATAGTAGCAACTTATTTGAGAACACTTTGCTAAAAATATAATGGTCAGTGGTTTATTGAAAACTACCTTGATACTATTATTTTCTGTTTAAAATACAATGATAGTAACATGAAGTAGAGAGATTTGTTTTTTTCTTTAATTTTAAAACTTTTTTTTTTTTTTTTTTCAGTTATTCCAGATTGCAGTGAAAAAATGAACTGAGAGGAACACTGGGATAGCCAAATCACAGACTTAACACTCTTTTTATGTAAGTACAAATGCTGTATAGTGAATTACTTGAGCTTTTTATTTTAGGATGGTAACAACATGTACTGGCCAATACCTACATTCTCACAGCCAAATTGCACTCTCTATATGCCATCTGTATTATCCTCATCTCTTCATAATCCATCCAGAATTTATTACCAATTACTCTGCAGCTTTCAGTGCACTACATATTGTATTCAAATTACATACTAAAAAAAATTACTGTGAATAAAATCATGCACTAGGTTTGAGAAACTCAAATCTCATCCTTCATAGCTAGTCATATTTTTTTCCAACAATAGTTTTCCACATTTCTTAATTATTTAGAGTAAAACTTACTATGTGAGTGCCAGTTTGAGGGGTAATAGCCTTTCAGTGGTAGGAGTTCTACTTCATTGTTATGGGTTGGTCCAAAGAAAGCACTACTTGCAATGAAAGTATCAAGGGGATCAAAATTCAGAGTCTTCGAAACAACCCAAATATCATCTGTGAAAACAATAGAGTTCTCATCAACTTCTAAAAATCCAATCTCTTTTAAACTAAAGGAAGTCAGATAAAAAAGTGAAACATCTTCTAGGCTGTAAATTAAATGACTGCAAAGTGAGGGATATTTAAGTCCTAAATATATGTTAGTTCAGTTCACAAAAAGGAAATAACTTGAATTATCAATTTGTCAGGTACTCCCTGTCCAAAATTCATTGTAGTGGTAAAGCTCTCTCCTTAATGCACTTCTGACAAATCCTAAGCGTTATTAATTCTGATAGTATTCAGAGCAAATCGCTTCAATATACTACAAATCTAGTTATCTACTTGGTTTTCTTCCCTTTCAAAGGCATCAGATTGTGACCTACAAATGTTCAGCTTTGCTAGGCACGTCTGCTGAGACTACTCTAGGCCATACATATTTACCTATAACAAATTTGACTAGCTAATTTTCCATTCACAAGTTCTCCTTTTGCAGAGTTGAAGAATTTTAAACCAGCATAAACCTGATCTGTTGGAGTATTCTAGAATCTGGGATAAAGCATTCAATGCCTAATTTCTTTAGTGACATTCTATAGCAAAATGATCAAACTAGGAAAACATGCATATCAATTGTACAAGTACTGAGGCAATCTGGGTCAACTCACCGAATGCCCTCTGGCTCTGTGACATGTCAGAAAGTTAGACAAAATAGGCAACACCTACTGAAACACCAATTCTTACATCAAGTTTTCCTTCGCTGTATTCTACTTGAATATTGGGGCTTTCTTGAAAATTCAGCTATTTACAGATTTCATACAGTCCAAATCTAAAGAATCTAAATTATATCAACATTTACAAAAGAAACTCAAAAGAAAATCAAAAAGGCACAACATGAACATAAACATAGACTATTATTCTGATGCTTAAATTTTTCTTACCTTTGCTATAGAGAGAATAATGCTCCTTACTGCTTAGCTTGAGGTACAGTTTATTTTTGGAGTCCCCATCAGAATCAGCATGCATGTTTGTAAGTTTCTTGAGCTTACTACACCATCGTGTTCGAATTTCATACCCTTTCCTGTTAAATTGCAATTTCCAGAAAAAGCATGTAATCATTTGGTACATTACAGGTTCATTCCATAGAAATAAGAAGGTGCCACAGATAGGACCAGACTAAGCAGCACAGATTTTTGGATGTTCATCTTAGTAAGGCTTAAATAAATGTATCTTGACCTCTGACACTCAGCTAAAATCAAATTTCCCCTAAATTTTACAGCATAGAAGAGCCTCAGATATGGCCTCTAACATTACATTTAGAATACGTATGTTATATCCAGAGAAGTGTGGGTTTTTTTTTTCGTTTTAAAGATTATCAACCTGGTATCTTGAATATATGTCTGTTTTTAAAAAAAGCATCACTAGGAACAATAAAACAAAGTCTGTCCCAAATTCCCCTTAAGAAAGATTAAACAGTAATTCAGATGCAACCATCATGAGAATTTTTGCTAAGCAATTGATAAAACTGCTGGTAAGCAGTTTTTCCTCATGGAAAAGAGTACTTACCTGAAATGACGCTGTTGTGAATAATAATCCTTTACTTATTTGGCTTTTACACTTCTACACAGAACTGCAAGCTCTTTAAACACAGTCAGTGTGTCTGTTACATGTTACTTAAATCCAACGTTAGCAGCATTTTTACAGACCTTGCAGTTCACATAGCACCCATGAAAGATGTACGCCGTATCAGAATACCTCACAAAAAGCTGGCATCCATCAAAGACAAAAATCTTTTGATTTCGGAGGTACGCTCCAATACTTTTTACATCATGAAGCACTACGCTCGGTGTGAATTTTATTTGTGCAGGGTTCACTTCTTCCATCCATTTGAAAAATGAACAGCGCTCAGCTCTTGGGGCATCACAGGCATAGAACAGACGGCCCTAGGGAGGCAGGAGAGGGAGATCTTAAACAAACACTTTAAACAAGCAAGTTTAAAAAAAAAAAAAGAGCAATTGAGCAGTACTACTTGCTATATAAATATCAGATAAACATCTGTGTTTTCAGCTTGTATAAAATGTGAAACATCTGTTTCTCAAGCCAGCTTGTATAATTACAGCTTAAAGAAATCCAATATAATCTAACAAATTATTAATTGAAGGCTTTCTCTCACATATATGAAGCTCTTTCTCTATGGAGAAAACCATTACATCAGCAGTTCTGGACAAGAACAGCTACTACCAATGATCTTAAAAGTGATCACTGTAACACATCACTTTAACTTGTAATTATAACTCACTGAGAACTGTGCTGGAATTGTTCATGCAACATGGTCTATACTGCAAACATCCCAAACTGCAAACAGACAAGAAATAAACAGCACCTTGTTTTGACCTTCTTTTTTAACCACAAGAACCTTAGCAGGACGCATGTGATCACAGAGTGGAACGCAGCTTTCTTTGCTCTCGCTTTGCTCATCTTTCAATGAGGTGTAAAATGATATATCCACTTTCGAAAGAGCGTTGTGAAATCTCTGCGACAGCTCAAAAAGCATTATGTTTAAATGTTCTTGGCGTAGAAAGGAGAACAGAAGAGCAATTAATATAGCTTTAAAATGTTTACGTGTACACAGCATTTAGACACGCATTTTCATTTGAAATGTTCAGTTCCATATTTAAATCAAAGTAATTAATCTTAGTACTAAAAGAACATGCAGCCTGCAAAATTCACATATCGTACATGAAATAAACTTGTTCTAAGCGCCTTACTTGCGTATAAATGAAGTTTAAATTTGTATCTCCAAATGAAGCAAATGCTGAATACCAGTAGCTCAGAAGGTTAGATAGGACTGGTAAACAGGTGCAAGGTTGCATCTTTGAAAAAGTATACTAATCTTTCAGTTTGTCTTTGTGATTTTGAGTATAGACTGAATATATTTGTGTGTGTGTGTATATATATATATATATATATATGAGTGTATACATATGCATACAGAGATGTGTATAGATCCAAGTTCAGATACAAAGAGTTGTTCCAACAGACAATGCCAATTATATCTTTTCCTTTCAACCTGCTTTTGTGAAGCTTCAAAAATACATGGTGTACAAGTGACAGCATTTTACATAGCATGGTGTTAGACGTACCTGTCAAAGCAGCTTTAAAAACCTGTTTGTAGTGAACGTGAGACTGAAACTCAGTTGGTATGGCAATCTTTCTTTTAGGAAGATTAGCATGTTTTACTTTATCTGCATTAGGAAAAGACAACTCAGAAACTGTTATATCCTAAAAATAAATAAATAAATAGGCTGTTAAAAGCTTGCAAAATCTTGAGGGAGGTAAATTTTCATAAATGTCTACTGTACAGATCTGTCAAAAACAGATTTTTCAGGACCTTGTTCTGCAACCAGAAGTTTCAAGATGAAGTTTTTCAAAAGCAAAATACAAAGCTCCTCTAGCACAAACATTTGCAGAACTTGTTACTAGGAGTATGGAAATGTACTTGGAACTGTAGCACAGTGAGTTGGAAGTATCATTTAAGATGCACACTGAAGTTAAAATTTGTTCCTGGCAAAACAGCTTGTGTTCTTAAGAACACACGTTCGTTTTGTTGTTTTTATTTTCTTCAATGTTCTCCTTTTTTTTAAAAAAAAAAAAGTCTACCAGTCACAAGCAGCTGTGCCAACTGCTAATTCTGTAGGCCCTTATTCAGTGTTTTAACTTGTGTTGCCATTGTTGAAATTATGATACTTGCAGCATCTTAAAATTACTTTGAGGCAGGACGTGAATGTTCATGAAAATAATGCTGATTTCACAATTAAGAATACCTATTGGGAATGTGTTCTTTCCAACAAAATATGAAAAAGCCCATTGTAGTGATTTATCATCTCCTTGCCATCAACATTCAGACTAAAAAAAAAAAAAATCAATCTGGCACCATGTAGACTGAGGAATTACCTTCATAAAGATTTGGCCACAGTTTAAAAATTCCATTTGCAGCAGAATCTCTTTTGTGCTACTGCATACACAGAAACATCTCATCCTATCATACTGATAATATCTTGCAGGAAATCAGATAAATTAAGTTGCTTTGTCCAAAAAAATGCATTTCTGTTAAATTGTATCTGCTTGAACAGTTACACACCTGGACCTCTCCTGTTACAGTGCAGCAGGTTAGATGACTCAACACCTTTTGTGCTGGTTCAGTTAAAGGAGTCTGATTTAAGTGACAAGAAAGTAAATTCCTTTCTGAAATCAAATCTTGGTTGGTGCTATCTGCACAGCATTCACCAAGTATGCTCTTTGCTGTCAGCAGAGGTACAGAGCCGGGAGCGTTGCTGTTCACAGTGCTGCTCTGGCTCTCTCCTGTGTCACCCGGCAGCATTCCAAGGACATTCTCAGCATAGATGTCATTGGTCGCGTCCATATCGTTGCTGTTTTGAGTTATCAGGTCACTATGAGCGCTGTTTAGATATTTTACCCACTTGCTTTGTCTATACTGGGAAGTCACATTTGAGAATACTGGGTGCACAGACTTTCTTTGTCTGTCTTCCGTACACTCCTCAAACACGGAGGTTTCATAATTCCTGTCCTCAGGGCCAGAAGCACTCATGGAAAACTCTGCTGGCTCGCTGCTCAAACTGGCTACTAAAAAGCCATTAGATTGCTGGACCTCCTCACTGTCGGTTAGGAAAAAATTGTTGGGAATCTTCTCAGTGGCAGCAACAGTGACAGGTGGAATTTGTGTTTTAACTGTGGAGTTGCATTCCTCTGGATAGCTGTCTTGTTCCCATGCTGTAGAGGAAATACATCCTGTAAGCAACTTTGTGTACTTGCAGATGGCACGTTAACTTTAGAGGCACAAAGAATTAAGATAAAGAAATAATTCCAAGTACTTCCTTTTACCACCTATCTTGTAACTGACAGGTTCTTTCTATTGCCCCTGTATCGTGCCATCCATACTACATTTCCACATAAAATAAGATTTCAAATATGATTCTTCTATTATTTTAATTCATATATTCTGAACACATTTCTATAAGCACTCTACTTCTCTGTAAATAAAAAGGTAGAAATTATTCAAATAGAGTATCTGCTATCAAAGTTATAAATCTGATATTTTTGGTGGCTTAGTGATGACAGAGGCCAAATAGTAAACAAACAGCTTAACACCTATTCCTTTTTACTAAAAAGTGCACAAAATTAATGTTAATGTGGATAAAAAGATTTCTAGTACCAAATTCATCACTTTGGCTAAATTTGCTACCAGTAAGAAGTGGTAGTCAGTGATCAGTGTCCATGTAATCACTGAAAATGGGTTAGCAGGCAGCTGAACATGGATTCAAACTAAAGCAGGCAATTAAGTGAAAGCATAAATGTGAATTAAAAGTTTTGCTTACAGCCTTATTTCCCTCTCTGAACAGGAAGGCAATTTTTCCTTATACAGTTGGATCTGTATACTTAAGTTTCTCCCATGGAGAATATATGGGTAGGAATGGGGTGGGAAGTATGAAAAAGGCTAGTTGAGGTGGTTTGGAATAAAAGGGAATGGAATAGAAAATTGTGCTTAGAAATCTGAAATACACATATGGGGGAGAAAAGTGTATCAAACAAAACAAACCCTGTAGTTATACAGACATCAGTGTACTTCAGAACTCAGTTTTTCTTCTTATAGTGCAACTCAGTGCTTCAAAAATCATCACAGACTTTGTAGGAAAAACATTATAAAATACAATTATAAACTATAAACTCTTACTGAAAATGCCTTCTGGAAGTTCTGAATCACTAGGTAGGTTCCTGTAAATCAGAGGTTCCTGAATGTCTTGAACGCTTCCTTTTTTTCCTGAAGCTGGAGAAACTGAGGAGTTCAATTGCACTGATGAAATAATCTACAGAATGAAGAATTAGCATTTCAAGTGAATGATTAGAGGGAAGAAAAAAAAAAAGTGGGGGGGAAAAAAATGAAGAAACCTACCCTTGATGAGAGCTCTTTTATCACTATTCTCCCCCTTATCATTCTAGACAATTGAAATGTCTCAGAGTCAAGATGAAAAAGTAACAAATTAGACATGAAGTTGCTACCATGAACACAGGAAGCAAAACCAAAAAGCTCTACAAGAGTCAGGTCGCACCTTGCCAGGTTCCCATGAGGTCCACTGTGTTTCTTCCAAATCAGAATGTGATGGTGAGCTTGACGCTATCCACTGTGGAACTTCAGAACACACATTCAGTGCTGGTGCTAGGACATGCAAAGGACAGAAGTCAGGCAGAATAATTGTTCAGATGCCAACGACTGCCATTCTACATTCACTTGCACTTACAGGAGTGACCTGCTACTGAGTCTTTAATGTTAAACTTCTTTTGAAAATTCTCCTCTCTGATAAAATTCATATAGTCCTCATGAAGACTTCTTGAATCTGGAGACTGTTTCAAAAAAGTATCAGTAAAATCTTGTTAGAAATTGAACTTTTTATCCTCCTTATAAATAACATCTTTGTGCAAAGGTCTCATTTCTAATTACAAAATGGTAACTAGCCTATCCTGGAATTGGAAAAAAAAAAAATCAGTTTTCTTCCAGCAGTTTCAATACTGAAATACATAGAGCATTAGAAAAACATGCTTTATTTAACATTGCATCTCATGTTTCTCTGCGTCCATGAGAAGTAATAATAATTTCTCATAATCCAAGAAAGAATGTTTTAATCTTTGTTCTGAAACTCTCCAAAAACTATACACAAAACTTCAAATGCACCAAAAACAATTCTACAAAACCTCATTGTCACTCTTCCCTTCAAGGAATCTCTTTTTTTAATATCACACACGTTATAAATTCTTTAAATGAAATAGATTGAAGAATCATAAAAACTAAGTTACATGTTGCAAATACATAACTCTGCAACAATAAGTGAAATTAATTACGCTCAACTGCAGTATTACATTTGGACCAAGGTTAGTAAGAATAACTTGGAAAAAAATTGCTTTACCTCTCTGAAGTCAGAAAGAACATAATTGCATGAAAATGGAGGTGACAAAAATCTCTCAGCTGCAAACTCCATATTGTTTGGGTACGGCTGCCATCCTAGCTGTGAGCAGGGAGCTCTCAACATTGTCTCGCTAGACGCTGATCCCTTTATTTGGTGCCCTTGAAACTCAACAGGCTACACAATACACTGGAATTATTAACTGAAAATAAGTACTGTTCAGGAACTATCTACAGCCAACAAAGCACTTTTCAGAGATGCAACAAAAATAACCTCTTCAAAACTGCGGGGGAACAACAGACTATGCTTTTGAAGGTATCTGTATCTTGCTGACCCACAATTCAGCAGCAAGAAAGTTTTCTGTACAAATCTCTCAAATCCCACAAAGTTGTGACGTTCTGACACAACGTGATCTGAGAAGCTGGCTAAATATTTATTAGAACTTATTGTAATACATTGAAAATACTAAGCTACTGGCTTGAATGTTAACACTGTTCATCACACTTCAGTTTCACAGAGAAACTGTACCTTCCACTGGCAGTCAGGTGTCCTAGGGTCTCTTTGGCCCAGTGCTTTCAGTGGAACACACAGCTCAGTTTTCTGTAATAAATCAACCTTACAGTTAGGCTGCTATAAAAGTATCAAATGCTAATTAGCTTAACAGTTTAATAACCCTTCAGGGTATAAAAAATTAAGCTAATATATCTGAAGATTTTTCCAAAGACCTCATATACTTATAAAACAGAAGGTGTTGCAAATGAAAAGGGAGAAGCAGAAGAATTTTAGATAGTTTTTTTTTTTTTTCTGTTAAGAAGAGATTGAAAGAAAACGACTATTAACAGCATTTCACAAAAATTAGTGTGAATCATCAAAAATAAACAGATTGATAGTGCATCTCAGTGCTAAAACTCGTAGGAAGTTCCATGCATTCTAAAAAGTGATGGAAGGGGGGAAAAAAAAAAAAAAGAAAAAACAAGATGGTAAATATAGTGGCAAAGTACTCAAGTAACTATAATTACTTGTATTAAACATAACAAGATATTACAGTTTGTACTAAGTACACTTCTAGTCTCTAGAACACTTACTAGAAATAAGGTCTGCAAGATGACCACCTCCTTTCCAAGGAAGCAGTTGAGTCACCATCCCTGGATGTGCTTAAGAACTGTTTGGACGTGGTGCTCAGGGACACGATTGAGCAGTTGGTTGTTAGTTGGGGTAGTATGGTCAGGTTGTGGTTGGACTTGATGGTCTTTAAGGGTCTTTTCCAACCTGAGCAATTTTATGATTCTATGACATGTTTTGTTTACTATCAGTTTCTTAGTTGATCCAGGAAGAGGTTTGGTAAAAAAAAAAAAATATATATATGTATTTTGTAGCAACAGATATATGTAATCAAAAACTGGTTACCAAATTGCCAGAAGAATCAACGCATGAAGATGCCTGTATACTTTCTGAGTAAGGCATTTCTGTAAACCGTTTTATAGCTACAAGACATGGAAAAGCATAATAAGATACAGCAGTCACTTATCATAAAACAAAATCTGAATAATTTAATGATCTTGCACCTTTTTCCCATGTAAAGAACTGTACAGTTAACTGAATTAAATAAAACAGGGAAACAGATTTGGGGGCCACACCAGTGCCTTAAAGGCTGAACATTGTGAGATGTAGCTTTTGTAACATAGTGCTACAAAAGTATGACTTCTGAATGTTAATTGTTCAGCAGGAGAGATGGGAGTGCAGAAGTCAACCCGGAAGAGTCAGTCATGAAACAGAAACTGATCTAACCTTCATCTTTGGTAAGTAGTTCAAGTATCTCTTTAGAAGTCTCTGCTTCATGAAACACACTATTATTTTCCTTCATCATTTGTAAGCTGTCTAGTGCTGTGCTACATTGATACAAAGTTCTTAGAAGAGTGATATTGTTTACCAAGTCGGGAAGATCTGATGAATTTTCAGCCTTTGCCATGGATTTCAGGCAATCCATTTCTATTCTTTCACCTTTGCAGGCTCCAAGAGGGACATTCATGCTCTCCAGATTTTCAAACTCTGTTTCATCCATTTCTGCTTCTTCTGAAGCTGAGCGACCTTTCCCTAAAGGACAGATAGCACTTCTGGAAATAAGAGTACTTTCCTTATTCAAAATGCCAGACAGATTTTGATGATCTTCTGTAACATATTGGGATGAGCCACAGCAAGATTCAGAGTTTTGTGACAAAGTCAGCATAGGGCTATCTGGTTTGATGTGATCAATTTTAGTTCCCCAGAAATGTTCTAAATCAAGATCTGGGGATTTTGTGCATTCAAGCTGTATAACATCTTCTTCAGCCTTTTCCTCTGCTGTAGAAATTATACTGGAAGCAGTACGTGAAATATTTTCAGTTTTATCAAACATTCCAGTTTTAGGGTGACATTTAACATTTGTGTCACCAGGAAAAAGATCAAAGTGCTTGCTTTTTATTCCTGATGTGCCATTAATGGTAAGTGCTGCACAGCCACCAAGATCCTTTTTATTGTTCACAGCTTCAATACTTCCTAGGCTTCCATTAATCTCTTTTAAGTTGTTTCTGTCATCCAAAAGTTCCACTTCAATCTTGGTCTGGTTTGAAGAGTCTTCCATAATTCTCTCTGTATCTGTAACATTGTTACAGAACTGTAATGGCATTTGCACAGTGCAGTGATTGCCATCTTTTTCTACATCATATGTTGAACACTTGATTTCTTCCTTTTTGCAGTGTGTCATCACTTCAAAGCAAGAATTAAATCTCAGTGCAGTATTTTGTGCCCTATCTTCTCCCTCTAAGCAATCTGCACTTTCTGAAAGCATGTCTTCTTCAGTGAGCTCTTTCTTATTTCTTTCACAGTGCTCTCCATTGTCCATATCATGAAAATCAAAAGCTCCCAGCAGGTCAAAATTAACTTCCATCACCTGTTTATCTGGACTACAGTCTCCATCACATGTACTTAATTCCTGCTTTGCATTTCCATTTTCAGTCACTGTTACATATTCAGAGAGCTCTAAGTCACTAGGCATTCTTTCTGAGTTTTGTTTCAGCTGAAGGTCACTTTGAGATTTGATTGATGAATTATCCTGAAGACCATTAATTGCCAAATGCTCTCTGTATCTGGAGAGAGGTTTTTCAAAGGTGACTGGACTTGCTGAACAAGAAGAGACAAATAGGCTGTCGCTCACTCTGTTTATGGTTGATTCAGATAGTACAGAACTGTTTGTCCTGCAGGAATCTTGTAAGTCTTGGCCTAAACTATTAGCCTTTTCGTTATGTCTTTGCCCTGTGATTTCTTTATCACAAGGTTCAGATGAATTAATAAGCAAACGTTCCTTTTTATCATTTACCATTTCCTTTGTAAAAGGCAAGTGCTGAATATTTTGAGCAATCTTTTTGTCAGAGTTGACAGAAAAGGCAGGCAGGATTGTGCTTTTTAGGTTATACAAACTATTTATGTTTTCCACTGCTTGAAATCTATGACATTCTGTGACTTCAGATGTTACTTGCTCTCCACAGACCTGTGGTTTAGATTTCAAAAGGGCTATGATCTGTGCTGTGCTCCTGATGTTCTGTGACACTGCCCCATGACCAGTTGTCCAACTACTAGACTTGGTGTGCCCACTAATTAGAGGAGACTCTGGCTTTACCATGGACTGATCAGAATTTTTCTTCTCTATTTCATTACATGTATGAAGAAATGGAAGTGAAACCACTGAGGAGGGAGTCACACGATCTCTATTATCTGTACCTCCATCTTCATGCAAGTCTGCAGATAAGCTTGTTTCTGCTTTCTTCTTGTAAATAGTAGAAAATAAGGGAGAGGTAATATAAAACCTGGATGGAAAAGGATCCTGACTCTGCTCAGATATAGGTGATACTGCCGTTCTTTCTCCGTCTTCTGCTGTCGATACTTTCTTTTCAACCTGACGTGGCCCTTGGAAACCCTACGAGAGGAACTTAAAGTTACTTCTACTCAGAAAACAACTTCACATTTCATAAGCAAAAGATGAAAATTGAGCACATTCCATAAGATATATTCACAGAATCATAGGAGTTGGGAGGGACCTCTGGAGATCATCTAATCTAATCCCTTGCTAAAGCAGGTTCCCTACAGGAGATTGCATAGGAAAGCATCCAGGTGAGTCTTGAATTGAGTCTCTCCAGAGAAGATTCCATACCCTCTCTGAGCGGCCTGTTTCGTGCTCTGTCACCCTCACAATAAAGAAGTTTTTCCTGAGGCTCAGAGGGAACTACCTGTTTTGCAGTTTGTGCCCATTACCCCTTGTTCTGTGTCTGGGCACCACCAAAAAGAGCCTGGCCCCATCCACTTGGCTCATGCCCTTTAAATATTAATAAGCATTGATAACATCCTGTTGTGGTTTTGTGATTTTTGTTGTCAGTATTCCACTTCAGAACATAATGTAAAACAGTGGGAGTTAAAGAGTTAATGTTCTGGTTCTGTGGACTGCCTTTGTTGGCATTTTGGGTTCTCAGAGGGGAGAAGCAGCATTCCCAGAGGACCTGGGCAGAAGAATAAAGGTGGAGCACCTGGCAGGACATCAGCCGTCATCCTTCTCTGACTCGCTCTCTCTCGGTTTGCCCTGGAGAAAAGCACGTGCATCCCCTGTAGTCCCCTAGCTAAGATCTCACACTTTTCTCTCTGTGTTTGTTGAATTTAGTAAATTACTGTTCCCCCGCAGATTGTTGCTGTTGTTTTCCTTTTAGACACATCTGCCCTCTGTCTTCCCTCCTCCGGGAGCACACCGCCAGCAAAGTGCCTTGCCTCATTTTGGTCCAGGGCTGGCCACTGCTATGCAGAAAGGGGTGGGCTGATTTTTTTTTTCTCTTCAACCCGCCCCCCCCCCCCCTTTGTCTCCTTCTGGGCTTGTGCCTCTGTCATGGACTAAGTTATTTAGAGACAAGTGTGTGACAGATTCCTCTCTCAATCTTCTCCAACTCCAAACTGTCTTGGTTGACTCAGATAAAGCAGCACATGTATAACAATTCCACGGGCATATAAAAATAATCACAATCCTTGCAGTTTTCACAGCAGCTTTAGTAATAGTAATTCTACTAAGCTAACCAAAGATTTAAAGAGCCTTGGAAAAAATTGCTACTGGTGACATGACTTGACTTATAGTTCCAAAAAAAGGTAGGAAGATATTATCTATATATTTACTATTCCATTTAAAAGTGCCTTTTGTGTTTTAAAATGTATGCTAATGTCAGACAAATTTTGAAACAGACATACTGTAAACTTCCTCTTTAAGCCAACAGACAGATGTCTTGGAGGCAGAACTGCAGGCTTTAAACCACGTCTATTCAAATCTACTATTTCAGCTTTCCTTGGTTGATCTCCACAAGATTTTTCCTTCATTTTTGCTTCTTCAACCATGATCAGATATCGTTCACTTTCTAAATTATCTCCAGAATTCACCTAGGAAAAGAGAATGCAATAGTGTGTATGTAATAGTGCTATTTAGGAAACTACAGATCTTCTAAATATTGTATTTACTCAAATGTAAATTTTTTAGAACTGTAACATTTTATACCCAACACATCACAACCACTGTATATATAGTTAGATTAATTAATAATGGAGAACATTAGCACCTAGTTATGTTCATTTAATACATTACTATGATATACTGCTTTTACCCAACCCATGTAATTCCATGAATCCTCTACATTTGTTCTGGAAAACCAACAGTAAGTTCTATCAGCAATTGAAAGCATTTTTAGTTTTCCATTATTTGCACTACAACTGCCAGAATGCTGGGGAAAAAAACCACCTTAATCGCCAAACAAACAGGAATTTGAAATGCAAACCACAGTAATAAGCATAAATACCAAGCTCCAAATAAAATATACCTGGGATTTTACAAACATACTCTCCAAATATTGTCCTTTATCATCAAGCAAGATTGCCTGCAAGGAAAAATAAATGGAATTAAAAAAATCAGTTTTACTTCACAGGTCGACTAAATGGCCACTGACTGTCTAGCAAATGGTATTAAATCTAAAGATGCTCACCCTATTTTCTCCAGGTCTAATCCTCAGAATTCCATCTTGCCATGTTTTTGATTTTTTCATTTTTTGGTGAGTGTATAACACCTGATGTAAAAGGGTGAGATGTTTGAACAGTCATAAGTTTAAAAAAAAAAAAAAAAGTTTAAATAACACAGCAACATCATTTGATTGATTTTTCCTTAGTGACATAGTGTTAAAAAACTTACAGTAAATTCTTGAGAAGCCATTGCTTCGGCAGAATGGTCCTTCAACAGCTTATTTCACAAATGCTTCATACAGCCTGAGGGACAGGGAAAGGCTCAGAATAAACCGGTGTTTAATAAAGCCAGAAACCGCTAACAGAAGAACGTTGTCACCGGTTCACCAGCTCCCACACTGCGAACCGGCCATGCGTGCGGGTCTGAGGTGGCTGACAGTGACAGCACAGCTACAACTGCCCTGAGGGGATCGGCAGCGCTCCCTCAGCCCTACAAACACGGGAGGAGCGGGACGCGCAGCGATGCAACTCGGAGAGGCCCACGCAAACGCGTTACGCACCCCAAGGGCGCTGCGGCGCTGCCCCCCCGCCACCCACTCAGAGCCCGAAGCGCCCCACAGCCGCCGCGCACCTGAGGCGGCCGCCGCCGTCCCGCCGCGCTCCGAACTTCCCGCCACAGCGCCTGACGTCACCACGCCCCGACGGCGCCGAGGAAAGCCCCCCACCTCCCTCCTGCCTCACCCCGCCCGCCGAGAGGAAATCACGTGCACCACGCGAGGCGCGGCCGCTCCCACTTCGCGCATGCGCGCGTCGCTCCGCGGGGCTTTTCTCTCCGCGGGGGCCGAGCGTCGCGCCCGCAGTGACGGTTGAGAAACGGGAGAGGGAGAAGAAGGCGGCTGCGAGAGGCGGGGGGTGCGGCCCAGCATCCCCGCGGCGACGCCGCCCCGCGGCAGGTCAGTAACGCGCGGCGGGGGTGACCGTTGGGGGGCGGTTGCAACGGCGCAAAAAGGGGGCGCTGCCGCCGCCGCGCGCATGCGCGGGACGCAGCTCGTGGGGCGGGGCGGCGACGCGCCGTTGGGTGTGGGACAGCGGGGCGGCAGTTGTGGTCCTCAGCGCGGCGCCGGGCTGAGGCGTTCCGCCCGTCCTTAGAGCCGCGATCGGCCCGCACCACCCGTGTTCCCTGGGAATAGGTAGCTGGCTGGTCCCGCTGGCAACCGTTAAGTCATAGAGAGGAAAGTCTGCTTCTTTCCTTTGTTTGAAACGGGAGAAAGAAAGGAGGCGAGGCTCTGCGGTGCCTCCGGGGCAGTCTGTCAGCAGCCGCTAATGGGGCATCGGCGTGACTTCCTCTGCGTGTGCCCGTACCCTGCCTGCTGCTCCGCTCCTGCTCCGCCTCCGTAAATAAACCAGTGCGCACGTCCAGGAGAAACTCACCGTAATATAGCTGCTGCTCGGGTGCAAGAGCTGCCCTGGCTCAGCGGAGAACGAGGCGCAAGGAAGGAGTGTGTACCAAGCGAGACGAGCTGGCGCTGCCCGGCTCTGGGAGCTGTGAGGGACGGGCTGAGCGCGGCAGGACCGCCGTGTGCGCTGCTCCCAGGCGCATCCTACGCCGTGTTTTGTGACAGGTGGCAAACAGCTCCGCTGTCACTTTAAAAGCTCATACTAGGTTCATTGCTTGGACTGGTGAAAAAGCTGGAGGATCTGTTGATTATATGTTGATATGAAGCAAGCTGTGCAGATCCTTGTGTGACATCTTCCGACCTTTGTCATTTTCTGTAGGTTGAAATTACAGGGTAGGAAGTGAATTCAGAGAGGTGTAGCAAGGAATGCCCGGGGCAGTCTGCAGAGTACATCTCTGAAAGCAGTTAGAGGTATGCTGGATGTTTGCATTTATTTTGTTTATTTTGTCCAGAAAAGGAATTATTATCGCTTAGTATGGAAGCATTGATAGTATAAAGCATGTTTTGTATGGTCCAACCCTCTCCTCTTGATGCTTAAAGGCCCACAGTAAACAAGCAAGCTTGATATCGGTGCATGATATCACAGAAGCAGATGTTTTACAACTGGACCCCTATTCCTTTCACTTTGTATGACAGATGTTGTCACGTTTCTCTAGGTGTCTTTGTAACAGAAGTTAAATTTGAAATTTGTTTCTGTGCAATTTACTGCTAGTGTAATTCGATATTTCCCTTCTAAAAGGATGTAAGTATATCATCACAGATCTGTGTGAAGCCATATCATTTTGATTTACATAATCTTTGTTTATCTACCTTTTTTTTTTTTTCCCCCTCTGATGAGTTATTCTTCCTTTCCTTGGTTTCTTTCTTCCATATGCAGACACTGATAATTTAATTTCAGTTAAGGAAAACTAACAGCTGTAGCTGTGTAGCTTTTATAGACTGAAATCTCGACTTCAGCTTTTGCTTTCTTCTGATTTGCACTGTTTGTGGGAACAGTGCTTGCAGTTGTGAGGCTGGCAGCGCAAGAGCTGGCAAGGCAACAAAAGCATGGACTGCCTTACACCTTGACATTGCAGCATTCTGCGTTGAGATCTGCAAGATTAATTGCAAGCTGAAAGAATACCGCTGAAAAAGCAAGTTTCATGAGTTAGTGATATGCTTTCCTATCAGCAGAGTTTTCTTAAATGCTGAGTTTAATCTCAGTGAACTCTCAGGTGTATTTCACTACTGAAAATAAGATTGTATACAGATTCCAGTAATAGGTTCGTAGCTGACATGTGCTCCGGCTCCAGGCTCCCCAAAGCCATGTTTGCAAAGCGTTATTCCTAAAGCAGCGCCTAAAAGTGGGTATGGGGGTGGAGGAGGAGCAAAACAGAGCAGGATACAGCTTGTAGCTGTTTGTGTTTCCCAAATGACTCAAAACCTATGAAATGCTTTAGATAGCTTCTTAAAATATAGCTCTGCTGTACATAAGCCGTATTTGTTATGTGTTAGTGGGGTCATAAAATACTGTTCAACTAAAGAAAATATCCTGTAATGGTGTAACTCGCTGTAGCTTTCAGCGAAGTGGTATGCAGTGCTGATAATTAATTCAAGTTGCCAAAGGGCTCGAATGTAGCTTGAACTTCAGTTGGGAGTTCTACCTGGCTTATCTTTTCAAGGTAATTGCTCTTTCACTGTCTTGAGTGGTTAGCTCACAGCAGGGAGCGAAACTGACATCCGGCTAAGGAGGTGCGATTTGCACAATAATTTGAAGACCATCTCCATTGTTGTTGTCCTGCTGCAGATGTCAGCTTCCTCTCTGATGGCTGTACTTTTGTTTCCTTATGTTGTGTACAGGGAGCAGAAAAGTCTTTCGAACGATGATTTCCTTATTAATTGCTTTATTTTTTGTGTTAATTTTTTTTTTAAAAGCTGTCTGCTTTTGCCGGTATTGCTTTGCTTTGGCTTGACTAAAGTACTCTTGACTGGCATTTTAGGATGACTGCATACCTCCAGCGAACAGAAACATGAGACAAAAAAAAGGTGAATTGATCTATGTAGAAGTTTTGATATTTTTTCCAAGTAAAGCTGTAACTTCAAGTCACCTTGCTACGGTTTAGTCCGTTATTGTAGGGACTGGGGTAAGAAGTTCCAACAGAACTTGATTTGCCATTAAAATCAGTGATTCTTGGTGAAAGATCTCCAACCAAAGAAAGATGTTTAAGTGTAGCACTTAGTGAATGGCACCTGGACTTACAAGAAGGGTGGGAATTGTATTTCGTATTAAAGGTTAATAGATGCTTTTCATTTGGAGATTTTACTGTATGTTCTTGCAGTGAGCCCATCTGCAGCTGTGTGTTAATGTCACCTGCTTGCAAACACTGGGTTTACTATATATGCCTGCTGAATGTCGTCCTCGGGGCCAGCCTGTTTAGAAGTTGCCTAGATAACCTAGCTTTTTTTTTTTTTTTTCCCCTACTTTGTCTTCTACATAAAAGGGTAGTTTCTGAGTTGTAGTTCTTTGTA